TCTGATTTACTCCGTTAACTTATGTTAGATCGATGAACGTCATGCCTATTTGTTTTACATACTCGTAGAATACAGTCAAGGGACGCTCTAGCTATCGAACAAACTCGTTCACTGTTTTCTCTATTGCTTTGTATGTAGAGAAACTTTTTGGACAAAAAAATTTACACTGGAGAAGCTGTTTTGCATGGTAATCGAATTCCAACGATGTATGTACGTACTATCACCACCATTACCTTCACCAACACCAAAACCATCACAACAATGACGACGACGACGACGACCACGACAAAGTATGGATGCATGTATTAGGTATGTATAGATAGATATATATATATATATATATACACATATATATTTATATATATACGTATACGAAATGCATAGGCGTTCTTTCTACCTTTTCCGGATACGAATTACATTTGAAAATTTATCAACCATAAAGCGAAATGATTTCGTTTTGGATGGTATCCGTTGTTGCTAACTACGTTCCAACCGGACCTCTTTCGGCGGTACAGGAAAAAAAGAGAAAGAGACAAAAACATAACAACAAAAATATCCAAAAAGAATTTGCCATCTAGCGATTTATATCACACTTTTAATCTCGTAATCGAGAAAGATATATTACGAGCGCGTTGGGGAATGATGCCATCTATGCACGTCGTTAACCCAAACCTACAAAAGCTTTCACGGTAATCTCGAAGCTACCGACATTCTCGAATCGTAAATATAATCACGATGAAAAATGCTATTTTACTAGACAATTCTTCTTTGCGTGTTACGACAACTATAACTTGAAATAATTCCAAAAAACTACTAAAACGATTAAGTACGAAAAAGAAATGAAAGAGATAAAAAAAAAAAAGCTCTCGAAAGATTTATTTCATTTAATTTCCAAAGTAAAAACAGGCCATCCAAACCGTTCCAACCGTTCCACAGGTGATTTTAAATATCAATTATTCTTTTTCGAAACATTTAAGCTAATTGTTTTTATTTAGATTATAAAAATTAAAATTCTAGTAACTTTCGACTCCACTCTGTGTTATGTGATCAATATAAATAAAATTTATAAATTTATTGTGTCGTTTCTTTTATAGGAATTTCAATAATAACAAAAATGCTCGAAAATGTGATAGGATAAAAAATGTGTACATATCAACGTATGAACATTTTAACTACAAATCCAATATGTAATTTCGTCATCCTTCGTAAAGGATGAGTGTTGATGCATTGAGAGAAATAAAAATCAATATCCATGATTTAAAAAGAAATATCTCGTTCCTGATTCAATATATTAAAATAGATACATACCCATATATGAATGCGTAAACAACATTTTATAACATGATATTTTTTCCAATGTTTGCAAAATGAAATTTGTATGAAAAGACATCGAATTCATTAAAACATTATTATAAAACATTGAACGTAATTATAATAAAAACATATGAATGAACGAAGCAAATGAAAAAAAAAAAAAATAACAAACAAAAAGCGAAGGAAATGATTCGAGCACCGTACCATTGTTTTCATATTTTTACGGTAAAACAGATAAAACGCATTACATTTAGCTTTCTGTTCAGATTGAATGACTAAATGACGGAGTGTTTAAGTGAGTGAATCACTAAATAACCAACGATCATATTCATAAATTTGCTTGTCAAATGGTTCTACAACATATAGACAAATACCTGAATTCAAGATAAACACGATATACTCTATCCCAAATTTCATAATACTTTATCAAGGTATATATTTAAAAATGAGTTCTTGTTTAACGCATTTTCGTGAAAGAGACACATTTCAAAAGGAAGATAAGCGATATCTACTAACGTCTACGTTCAAAAGAAGATTAAAAAAAAAATGAAATAGTATTAAAAAAAAAAAAAATTAAAAAAAAAGAAAAAGAGAGATAGGGAAAAAGATCGGCTCTCAAAGCAATCGGGAACTCAATGATTCTATGGGTTTGCTTTTAAACGAGCCTTTTAATGTTTTCAATACACTTATACCACCCACCCTAATACATACTTACGTATAAAACGCACGCCGTTAAAAATCCAAGTTTATTTGAAAAATACTTTTGGAATAAACGTACGCGATGAATACTCGATTATGCTTATCGTTTCTTTCCTTATCTACCTGACATATTATTTCCAATAACTACACAAATAGTAAAAAAGTCATTATGAACTTTTTGCTGGATATAATATCTAAATAGACAAAACAAAAATGCGTATAATAATTTATACTATAATTTCCATCCAATTATTTGTTATTTAAACTCTATAAAAAAAAAAAAAAAAATAAAAAGTGCAATTATAAAAATAGACGTACAATCATCACACGTCATGTATATACATAAATTGATTGCGAATTGTACAATAATGTCGACACTTTTATTAATTGATATTTAAATAAACAACGAGACAGTATTTACTTTAATTTGTTAATAACATTTTTAATAATAATTATTGGTCAAACGAATATAAAAAATAAAAAACATCTTCAAGGTTATTCGAAAGATTGTTAAACTCATAAAAATGAAATAATCCGACATAAATGTGAAACGAAAGTAACGACGGTTGTTCGATCGGTTGGACGTATTGGCCGTGACCTTGATGATAAAATACAGTAGGGGAAAGAAGAAGAAGAAGAGGAGGAGGAGGAGAAGAATGTGAAGGAGGAATAGGAGGAGAATGAATTGAAAAAAGACAAAGCGAGAGACTAATAGCCATCGTCGTTGTAGCCGACGTCTTCGTCGTCGTCGTCGTTCGTCGTCGTCGTCGTTCGTCGTCGTCGTCGTCTTCGTCGTCGTCATCGTCGTCGTCGCGACGTAATGTCGTCGTCATCGGCGTCAACAAGAGCGTCTTCGTTCGTTGATTCGTTCGTTCGTTCGTTCGTTCGTTCATTCGATCGATCGATTTATATATCCACCATTAAACTCACACTTTCTTTCTTTTCCTCCATCTCTCTCTCTCTCTTTCTCTCATTCTATCTCTTTCTCTCTTTCTATATTTCTCCGTCTCTGTCTTTTACATTTCCATGATGTCGAACACGTCTCCTAAACCGTCTAAATCGATGACGATTCCATAACTGTTCGTTAGTAAAGCTACCTTTCCTCATCGATCCTACACGTTTTTCCTTTACTTTATATTTCTACCTATCCCCAACTGATTCTATTCCCACGTATCTGAAAATTTTAATGACTAGTCTTAAGTATTCCTTTTTGATGAAACGACCCATGGAAATAATGAAAAAAAATTGTTTTTCTTTTTATGTAATTAAAAAATTTACCATTAACAAATTCGATTGATTTTGACTCGAATATGATGAAGATGAAATATTTGTAAATTCCTTACATATGATATTTTTCTTGTATTAAGAACAAAATAAAATAAAATAAAATAAAATGGTAGACCTAATAAATAAATATATTTTCATAACGAGATGTGTCGAAGCTATAGCACTGTTTTACCTCGAATTTTCAATGAAACAAACTTTGACTTAAAAAACAATACGAGTGAGCATAAGCATACGTGAAAACTATATATTAAAGAAAAACAATAGGTAAACTTTCGAGAAGTATGATCAAAGATCAAACTTTTTGCATGCGTTTTACTATCTTTTTTTTTTTTTTGGTTTTATATTGTATATTCTTTAGGATATATGAAGAAACGTCAATGTATGATCGAATGTATGCATGCATATATAGTATCTATATAAACGATCATATTCTTATTGTTAGTTACATATATATCTAGATATAGAAATGTAATATATACAGAACGAAGGTATAGTTACGATAATACTATACGCGAGTCAAACGAAAACGACTTTCTCCATCTTCTTTATCATTTATTCCATCATGCCATGACTTCGGGAATCTTACACACGAAGGGAATAGTATTACGTGGTCGTAGCGGTAAACTTACTCTGACGATTCTACGGCATAATCATAGATTATGTTATAGTTATATCGAGCTCGTACCTTCTTCCATTTTATTCTATACGTGAACTCTCACACGCGAACCAAACGAATCGAACGACGAGTAGGTACCGTTTCCTTTTTTACTATCTACGTCGCAGCAAACACCATAACGTTACTCGGTAAAAAATATATTTCCCATGGCTATCATATCTTTTTATTTATTTATTATTTTGTTTAAGAGAGAGATAAAACTGTGTATAGATATATAAAAAAAAAAGAAAGGAAACTATATATAAATAAAAAATTCATTAAAACGAAACTTTCTTTTTCAAAATTACTAATTTTCCTCGCAAACCGTAAAACTAAGTTGGGCTTAATCGCTATAATAATAAAAAAGCTTTCATGGAATATACTCTATAGTTTTTTTACGATCTATTTTATACATATTAAATTTGTAAACAAATCGAAAATAAATGATAGGGAAAAAAATATTAATATATCTCGATTATTTCTTTGATACTTCAAAATATATGAATCATATATCCAACGAAAACCGCAGAAGATTAAAATAAATTCTGTATATAATGGCATATTTTATAAATAACATCATTCGACGTTATACAAGACGGTGATTAAGAAACGTTCGTTCTCGAAAATAAAAACAATTAATTGATGAAGAAAACGATCAACAATTAAAAAGTTCCAACAAAAATACCACTGTCCAGGTGCGCGCATAATGGCGTCCAACCGTTGGAACTACCTTCAACGATGCGATACACGTATGTATACCGAGATACACGTGGAAAAAGAATACTTTTTCTTTCTATATCAGAGCGAATAATATTTTTTCTAATCTATTTTTTATACTAAAAATATGTAACAGCGTGTCGAGATATTAGAAATGACTTTACTAATTATATGTTGACCGTTATCTTCTAATGCCGTAAGTTATCTTCGATTAATTGCCTTGAGTAAAACCGAAATACACGATTATATGCGTACAAAAAAAAAATAAGTAATATTAATAAAGAGAAAAAAATAAGGGGACAAAAAGGATGTAGACGTTTGTTAGCACCTTGAATGATCGTTGGATAGAGTAGAGCGAAGATCCAGAGGAACGACGACATCGTGAATGCTGCTGTTGGTGGTCTCGTTGATTTCGCGCACATCACCAAACTCTCACTGTTTATCTCTTCTATTTCTTCCTCCTCTTCTTATTTTTTTTTCTTTTAACGCTCGTGCAGAACTATATAACAAACGTATATTTATTTTTCTCTCTCTCTCTCTCTCTCTCTCTCTCTATGTTTCCCCCCAACAATATAGGTAGAACAAATGTTCCGTTGGTCAGAAGTATTTGAAGAATAATTAAAATAAAACTTGTTTGTTTATTATATTCGATCGATCACACCAAATTTGAAATAACAAAACCGAGGCGCGAACGATTATTATTTTATTTTATATTTTCCTTCCTATATCTAGGAAACAGTAGACCGTAATTAATATATTTTATTTTATTCGATAATATAATATTGATTTGAAATATATATATATATATATATATAATTGTGAAACGAAATTGTAAATTGATTTATTATTAGAATTAAAGTGCACACGAGATAAAAAGATTACAAGTCGATCGCCAGAGTCGAATCACGACCGTAGAGCTCGGCGCGCGTAGACCGTCTGCCGCGCGCTTTACTTTCGGTCCGCTTCGTGAGACATCGGTTTTCAGCCGAGAACGACCGAACACCTCCGATAGTGCTATCTCTATCGTCTTTAACGTGTACCCCACTTTTCTGTCTCTAACTTAAGGGGTTACATGGGTCTGGGACTTTCAACAAAATTCTTCAAAATATGCAATTTTTTTCTCAGTGTTAACCCATGTAACCCCTTAACTAACTTACAATTACACACGTACGCATGCACGTACGCATGCACGCACGCATGCACGTATGCGTTGTCTCTCTCTCTTTCTCTTTCTCTTTCTTTCTTTCTTCGGAAATAATACATATTAACGGCTACCTTTCTTCTCCTGTCCCCTCTTCCTCCTACACTTCTTCATTTTCATTCTTCTTATTCCGTTCTACATCTTTCTGGACAACGGATAATACATATTTTTTCTTTTTATATGTAGGTATATAATACACTCGACCCTCTTATAGCATGCTATCATGAAAACACAGTTTTGATATATAACAGGGTGCAAAAATTGCGACAGTTCTTCCACAACATGGTATTTGTATAACACGATTTCCATAGATTTGATGATGCTATATACTGGCTGGTTTTGTCGAGGTAAATATTACATTATTACAAGAAGTATTTTATTAGAAGAAAGTTTCATTCGTCGAGAATTGTCGAAAGGAACTAATGTATCTATCTGATTTTCTTTTTTTTAAACTCGCAGATATGTATCAAATCAATTTTAAATACCAACTCTCGACGATTAAGCGCGATTACCTTTTTTCTATTAGAATCTATCATCATACTTAACAAGTTTTGATCGCGAAAAAATGTTCATTTAAAAATGATTTAAAAAAGCCGTTCACTTAAAAAAAAATTTGTTTAAATTATCTAAAAATTAGAAGAATCTTAGAGTGTGAAGCTGAACATGTCCAGGTTGTTCTAACGTAGCAGGTAAGTATGCTCGTATAAGTAAAGAAGGCTCGCGTGTTTGCGTTCGACGGGACACGAAATTGTTATCGCGATATGAAGGTAAACCGGAGAAGCCGGTCAAAGATATACACGAGAAGATAACTAAAAGAGAGAGAGAGGGAGAGAGAGAGAGAAAGATAGATAGATTGATAGAGATAAGGAAAGAGGGAGAGGGAGAGAACACAGAGCATAGCATAGCATATATAGCATAGATATCGAGATATTGTAGAACGAGCGACATGTTTAGGCCAGATGCGAGCGACACGGACGCGATTGGGTGCACGTGTAATCTCTGCGCGTTATGACTAAGGTAGATAGAGTAAGAGAGAGAGAGAGAGAGAGAGTGAGGGGAGGAAAAGAGGGAGGGTGAGAATGTAGCTTCCTATCGACGTTACGTTGCAGGCTCCTTATATATACGATAGTGTACGTGACCGATGTGTAAGAGCAAAACTACGACCTCCTCTAGGAGGTCGTCTCCCTTACGTGAGGACGTGCTACGTGACGAACCGTGCGAGAGTAGTGAAACTTATCGAGCTTAAGATAACGAGCCTAAGGTCTTTTGCATCTCATTCCTATGCTAATAGTTCGATACTATCGATATGTGCTCTCATCTCGTCATAAAAATACCGAAGATCTATCTATAAGATGATTGATTCTTTTTTTTCCTTTTATTTTTTATTTCCTCGCAAAGTTAGGAATTCTTTTTTTTTTTTTTTAGGGAAAAAAAGAAAAATCCATTAGAAATGTTTTATCTCGATAGATCGATTAACTAATTCTTCGTTTAGATGAGTTCATTGCAATTTACATGGAACCAAACTTCTGATTGCGGTCAAACGAGTACTCTCATACTACTACTATTACTACTGCTGCTACTACTACTACTACTACTACTATTATTTTATCGTTTATTTCTCTATCGCGGCCGAAGGAACGTTACTATGGATTCTGCTAATCGAGTTGTGCCAAGCTCGTGTACTTTTACGTATATGTGTAATCGTGTTATCAATGTAGTCGAACTTACTCCACTCTCTCTCTCTCTCTCTCTCTCTCTCTCTTTTACCTGGTCCTTAAGAGTCTGTTCAAAAACAAAGCTGGTTGTAATAATCAAATCTAGAAATAACAGATCACTTAAATAGATATGATAGAATTAGAAAAGAGATTTAGAATGATAATTTTGTACGAAAGTATTTTCATAAAACGCATGTTTTAAAGTATTACTGTTTTCCTACCTTCTTTCATATATCCCCTGTGAATAGGCAACCATAATTACAGTATTGCAATATACTTGTATTGCTATCCGCAGACGTTGGTCGATAAAATTCTATGTAATTATTTTATTATTACAGCCTATATAAACATATTTTTACTTTACTTTAATTTATTTATATTGTTTAAAAAAAAAAGAATTAAAAATAATTAAATTAATTACCATAGAGTCGAAGATTAGATAGTATTCTAATGGTATTCTAATTGACACATTTCAGCCATGTCCCTTTCAATTCCCGTCGTGCTTGTTATTACCATGATCAAACGTCTGTACGTGCATTCAATCAATATGGATTCATGTCGTCTGAATACTTATCCATTACTTTGATTGACACGGAGCTTCTTTACCGATCGAATTGCTGGTAATCCTGATGTAAATCTGTTTTTGTATGTCGTTCAATTTCAAGGCGCGTATGCGCGACTTAGACGCAGCTGTGCTGTGTAAGGCCTATTGTAGTAAAAAAATTCTTGTCTCTATGCTAATCATAAAAAACTTTCTAAAATATTTTGTTGAGAGAGAGAGAGAGAGAGAGAGAGATAAGCACATTTGTAATATTAATTTATACCTCTCAATTTTATTTTAAACGTAAAATATTGTTTATTTATTTCAATTTCTCATGAATAATTTTCTTTAAATATTATCTTAATCGATTACGCGCGAATACAAATGTGTTTACTTAGAAATTTATTAATTAAATTTAAAAAATCGATTAATGTGATATTCATGTGAGAATTGAAAATGAATTTATTGGTAATACGATATAATGAATTCATTGAAAATTGTTTTAATTCATAAATCATATGATAAAGAAAATGATATCAAGATTCGTCTCGCGTGACAAGACAAGTTTGTTGTAAAAATGGATTTTTCGACTGGTCTCGTTATGCTAACCGAGTTGCAGTTATCCCCTTAGCTTCTGCAGATGCTCGCGGAATGGCAATTAGCATTCTCCCTAACGCCTTCATTTATCTAGCTACTTCCAATTTGTGGCCAAGGGTTGATTGCCTGCATATTTTTCTTTGTTTAATGTTAACGACACGCACTTATTTTCATTATAAAATGAAATTTACTTACTAACGAACACAAGGAAATAATATATTCCAATGAATATTTTTTATTTAATTTAATCAGAAAGTTATATTATATAATATTATAAATTCAGAAATCAATTTTACATGTACGATCGAATTCAAAGCTTCAAACATTTTAATTATTTATGTTCGATTATACGTATACAATACATTCTCTCAAATATATGTATGTACTATGAAATTTTATCTTACACAATGCCGAAAGGCATATTTTCCAGTGCGAGGTAACGAGAAATGATACGACTCGGTTAATTGCACGGATTTCGCGTATAATTCGAAATTGGTATTAAAGGATTAGCGATTATTCGACGATCCTACCGTTAATTTCGAATCACGTAGATTTTCTATAGTTTGAAATCGTTCGCAAGACAACATAACAGATATGAGAGAGTAGATATATTGATCGTAGAGGATCGATAATAAATCAAAGCGAATATGTGCGATTGATTTTCGTACTATCTTCCTAGTAATATCGCACGGTTAGATTATGCATATGGGATCCTTGATTATATCCTTGATTATATCCTTGATTATATCCTAGTTAGTTATTCGCATAAACAATGATCAAAACGAACAAAAAAAAACTAAATATAATCAAATAATTTCTACTATTAATTTATTCTATTAATTAAATATTCAGTGTTAATTATTAACTATATTCAGTTCTTTAAAAACAAAACAAAAAAAAAAGATCATCGTTTAGGAAAACATTCGGAGAGTATATTACAAGATATTTTTGTTAACTTTTCATAAAGCAAATCGTGTTTATTCTACAAATTTGTCGGACATTAATTATTTCTACATAGTTGGCCAGTGCGGAGTTGATTGACACGACCGCAGACACTGAATTAGAGTTCCTCATGCGCATTGAGTAACGCCGTTCCATTGGAAATTGAATTTCGATGACAAGCACGAAATATTAATGGCCAATGCACCTCTGCCATTACATAATATCTACTTCGGCATAGTTAGAACGCACCGATAGAGATATCGAGCGCAATTGTGAAATAATTGCATGATCATTATGATTATTAGAAAATATCATCTCGATAAGACGATAATAAGGGCGAAAGAGAGAAAGAGAGAAATATTTAGTTTATTTCAATGATATTATCAACCATCTCTAATAATTATTTGAATAACACGATTAAATAATTCTAATCAAGTTGAAAATGAAGCGCGCTTATATGAACACAGAGATAAAACACACACATTAATAAGTTATGATCCTACGAATTTCTAAATGCTTTAATCGAAGTCAAGGATTAGCAATGGATTTCGTATTGGTAGCACGCAAATATGTACGCGAGTGCATACAATCAAAGCGCAACGCGTTTGATCCTTGGAAATTCAATACACTAAGATAGAATACGTATAATAGATACGTAGATACGATTGATGTTATTTGTTCGTCGATCAATCAGGACGCGAATTAAGTACTTATTTAAGATTCAATTTTAACTTAAATAGATAATTACTCTTGAGGCCTGGGAAAATTTCGTTTCCCTTTCTCTTTCTATTTTTCCGTCTCGAGAAAGAGATTTTCAAAACTTTCTTTTTGAAAATTCGATTGTACTTTACGCGAAAGTTCGTTGCACTGAAAGAAAACTTACTCTAATTCCTGAAAAAGATTAGCGAACTACGGCAATCAGATTA